GTATGATGCTGAAGATTTCATCAGTTGTAATATGATACAAGATTTCTGCTTTTTCTGCAGATACTATACTATAAGTTTGCCCACTCCTCCAGAATTTAGAATATCAACCTTCTGTAATGAACTGTTCATTTTTCTTAACACATTTTGCTTCTTTCACTTCATTAATTAAAGAAATGTATTTCTGATTTATTAAATAAAAGCTGTTATTGTGCTTATTTTTTACAGATTCACACAATATGTTGTAAAACATTTTCTGCATAACATCACCCATTTTCTTTCAGCAAAATATGCTAAAATATTTCTATTTCAGATCATAGCTGCTTAATTTGCTCAAAGCTAGCCTGCAGATGGCGCAAATAAGGAAGGGCAGGCACAGAAAAGTGTCATGACAGAATTTGCGTGTGCAGGCCTCTTCGAGGTCGATTTAAATCCCTCATTTCGGGCTTTTACCGGAAGGCATTGGTAACTCCTAGGTTTAACCGCAAAGACTTGGTAAATTCCGAAATGAAATCATATTAAAACATACTTCGGACTTTTACCAAGCCACTTTGGTAAAAGTTAGGTTTTACCAGACAGGCTTTTACAGTAGCATATATATATATATATATACAATATTTGATATGCTAAATAGCAGCTATTAGCGCTATTTATCTCTTACCTAATGTACCCACTTTATATATTATCTCCATCCTTTTTAAGTTTTAAAGTTCTTATACAAAAACTTTACTGTATTGAAGGTTAGCAGCCTCCTTACTTTTATATCTTGCTAGTTTAACTCATATTGAAATCACTAAATGTCATTCCACTAGATGACAAACTTGAAAATTTAACGCCATGCCTGCTACAGGTAAACACAAAAAACAATTTTTATGAAAAACATTTAACTGTATTTACATGATTACATGCGGTACTTGACATATTAAATATATAGGACAGACTAAAAACAATCTTAACTTTCGAATCAATAACCATAGAGCTCAAATCAAAAAATTCAACGCACAAAAAATAGCATTAAAATAAATACACCATCACAACTTAATACAGCAGAATTAGAACACTTTAAACACCATGACTTCAACTCTATTCAACTTCAGATACTATATATAATATCCAATCACAAAACACGAATCTTTCAGGAATCTCTCTATATACTAAAACAACGTTCCCTTTATCCATATGGACTTAACACTTATATACATAGTCATAGAGATACTTCTAAGAAGTCTATTTTCAGCCAATTTAAACTCTACAGCATTAAAACGCAGAGAGGAAAAAGAGGAAGCAAAATCAAAAATAATGCGAGATTTTTATCCACTTTGGATACACTTGCATTGAAAAAACAACTGAAATGTTTTTTTGACTCAGACTGCTTTCCTAAGAAACTTCTCAACTGGTTACACTCCTGTACTAATAAATTCCTTATCAAACTAAATAAATTCATTCAAGAAAGCTACGACGACATACAAATCATTAAAGACATGATTCTTGATTTTATTCTTTTCAGACTCTCTAATAGTCTCACTCAACGCAAAATTTATTTTAAAGTCAATTTTCTGCATCCGCAGTTTGACAATATTCATTTCTCAAGAATCATCAGAGATTGTAAAGATTACTTCCCCGCAGTTGACACAATACCAATGATTGCATTTAAATATCAAAGGACCTTAAGCAACTTGCTTACTAACCACCATGAAATAGATGAAACTGCAGAATGACAATGTAAGACACCAATTTACAGCAATTACGTAGATTCTCATCACCAGCACATAATTACTGGCAACCTGAATATCATACAAAACCATCAACTAAAAACACTAATGAGTTATGGTACAAAATTTAGACCAGTCAGAAACATGACTACAAGTTACTGTTACAAGACTTTCGAAAACAACATCAACGAATTTATAGTTAAAGCAAGCTATCAACTGAATTTACCCATAGATACCTTCTTAAAATGGAAAGCTAAAATTCTTCAACGCATATCCACAGAAATCAGTCACCTCAAATTTAAAAGTACACTGAATTGGTCGCAACTTACATCAGATATTAATAAATTAAAACAGCTTTTTACTATTACAAAATAGATAAAGCAACTAATAACTTTAGCATTATATGAAGACAATTCTACACTGAGATTATTCATAAAGAACTTCTCAACGCAACTACTTATCAATTAGCCAACCTTACAGAAACATCTATAATAAACAGGATTAAAACTTTTCATAAGAAACTCAATATTACTTTCAATGCAAACTACAACAGATTTACTAATCTTTATGCGATTCCCAAATTCCATAAAACACCATTAAAATTTAGATTTATAGCTAATGGAACTAATAATTACAAGAAAAATATAGACTATTATTTTTCAATTCAACTTAATAAAATCTGTAAATTTATTTTCAATGATTGTAACACTAATCATAACTATTGCTGGATCATTCATAATAACACTCCTGTCATTAATACCATTCATACCATTAACATCCAAAACATTAACTGCTATGATTTTTAAAAGTTATATACCTCACTTCCTCTAGAAGAAATCTATACCAGTCTACTTGATCTACCAATACTTTTCCCTAATATACTCAATATCATGACTCTTGACAAATGGAAAACCTACCTAAAATGCACACTTTTTCATAACTACATCAAGTTTCAAAATCAACTTTTTAAACAAGTCAAAGGATTGCCAATGGGCTTACATTCCAGCACCTCGATCTGTAATATCTTTTTATTTGTCAAAGAATTTAACTTCCAAAAAAATCTACAACCACAAGAGTTAAATTACTACAAACACACCTACAGATATATTGATGACCTTATTACAATTAATAATTTTGGTAAAATTGAAAACTCCGACATTTATCAGAATTGTCTTAAACTTAATAAAACTAATAATTCACAAAATAGCATAGACTTTCTAGATCTTCAAATCATTAACTACAAAAAAAATTTTACATTTTGACAAAACAAGAAACTTCAATTTCAATACTAACAAATTAATAAATTGGAACTCCAACATATCCAAAAAAGTAATTAACAATACTATAATTAATCAAATACAACAAATTAAAACTATATGCACAGATACAATAGATTTACAATGCGAAATTTTGATCCTTATCAAAATTCTCAAAAATAATCTAATTCCCTTTCAATTTATCAACCATTGCCTTAAAAGAGCAGGCGTTAAATACTCACTCTAAATCATTTAACTGATAGGGATATGATAATTTATTCCTAAACCTGAAAAGGCGGTATAAGTTGGATGACTGTCAGTTGAAAGATTTGTATATAGTGTAATTACTCAATTGTATATATTGTAAAAAGCTAATTGTCTTCAGACATATACTGTTACTATACTGTTACTAAAAAAATGGGCCTATTTCCTGCCTTTAGACTGTCCATTAGCTCTTGGACAGCGAAAATGCCTTTTTCCTTTCTTAAATTCTTAATCATTGCGACACGACAATTAGCCAGAAATTAATTAATTTCCATTCACTAGTATTTTCAAAAAATCTTAACAGACGGTCTCTCTCAGATAAGAACTCCACAAAATACATCCCTCAAGAATTCCAAGTCCCACCCACTACCATAAATTACTTCACCCAAGTCTTACCGACTGATATTATTCAAAGCCCCTACTGCCGCTAAGAATTTTCGGACACCCTACACTTCTGAGTCAGACACGAAGAGAACACTTTGCCAACTCCCCCACTAGAAAGAATGTAAGTTACTTAATACCTTTCTGGCCTTTATATCTTCATGTACATTCACTGATCTTATTTATATTACTATTATTTTTATATATTTTTTATATTTTCTTTGATTTGTTTTACAAAGTTTGGATTATTTATCTTTTTTATAATCTTCTATGTTTATTTCAATTTTACTTTGAATTCGATTTCATAATGACAATTTCCAATGTTTAATTTCTACAAATAATATAGTACTCAAATGCGTAACGATGAAAATGTCGGGGACGGTTACTCGAGTTTTACAGGATTTCTCTACAGTAATTGATTTTTACTCCAAATTGAATTGACTAAAATGCTTCATGAGAATAAGTTCTTTGAGTATCAGCATTAGTTCATAATTCCTACTATTCGCGGAAATATTTGGCCTGACTAGAATTGCCAGTTTGGCTTTAACTTATAACTCGAGTAAAGACGAAACACTTTCGTACTTACGTATTTTTATCAATTATTGTTCATTGAACGGGAGTTGGTTTGTTCCCCTTGAAAAGTCAACTAATTTCCGATCAATGACAATGATTACATGTTTTAATTTTTCCTTTTACAATTGAAATATTATTCTTCGTGATGATTTAACTCCAGTCCCCGTTAAAACATTATTAGCATTTTGCTTTCAAATTACTTCAAAACATCTTTCAAAATATAACTTACCAGTATGGATGCACACTTTTAAAATAATTCTACTTTAATTAAACTTAGGAGATAATATAATCAATTAATCAATACTGTTTAGGAAATAAATTATATATATATATATATAAATGTTTACATTATAAAAATTTATATTTCACTGTTCATAATATGTAAATTTAAAAGTGATAAACTTTTATGATATTCATTGCCATAATCAATAAATTTTCTCCCATTTCTTTTATTTATTTACTAGATGGTTTGGTTTATTTTGATTATGGCAAAGCATTCAAGGGCTATGTGCCTTAGTGGAAGATCTTCTAAGGGAAACAGTACATATAGAGAAAACAATGAAAATGCCCATGCAGCCAAATTATTCTCTGGGATTTGAGCCCCAGATGGAACTACCAGCATTTAGTGTCTTTACCACTTGGTCACTGGTGGGCCATTATCTATTACATAAAAATGAGAACTAGCAACTGTCACTAATCTTAAGTATTTATATTTTGTTGAAAATAAGAATTACTACTGCTGTCAAGAAATGTAATTCTTGTGTTTCTCACAGAATAAATACATCAAATAATAATCACATTTTTGAAACAGACTTACCCAAAAGTCCACCATACCCACAACCTATATCAGCAAATTCAACCATGGGCTGTTTACCATTTGAATCTTTTGGCTCATTAGAAAAATATGTTGGATAATATGGTGACCAATCCATAGCTGCTGGTGTTAAAGGACTGTAAAATAAAATTCCAGAAAAAAAGAATCAATATAACTGGATATATTTAATATGCATACAGATTTAATATCTAAGAACATATTAGGATATTTAGTACTTTTAAAGTAAGCCAAGATTATCGATCAATACATGTAGCAAACCAAAGCAGTCTTAAGCATTTCGATAGTGTTCCCTTTTAATTTCTTTATTTAGATCTCTAGGATCCAAGCATAATCTCAGACTCCCATTAGGTTTTTCAACTATAACCAAACTTTGAACCCAATCAGTTGGTTTATTTACTTTCGATACTATCCCTTCTGTTTTAAGTTTATCTAAAGTATCTTTTAATTTAGGCTGTAAAGCGTGAGGAACACGTCTTGGGGGGTGTATTACTGGTATTGCATCATCTTTAAGGGTTATATGATATGGTTCGTCAGGAAATTGCCCTGTGCCTAAAAATACATCTTTATACTGAGCAATTAAATCATTTTTATTAATGATATTGCACTTTAAGGAATCAATCCTTTCAATTAGCTTTAATACAGAACAAGCTGTTAACCCTAATATAGGCTTAGATCTTACATCAAGAACATAAAACTGTAAAGGTACATTCTTAAGCCTTTCAGTTGAACAATTAATTATAAGAGTACCTTCTGGTTTTTAACTTAAAATTACCATATGCAGTTTGCATTTTTCTTAATTAAAGAAATTGAGCCGGAAAAATGCACAAAAATACGTAACTTTTCAAAGAAATAACCGATTTCGTTCAAATTTCGAATTTTGCTCTTCCCGGAAGATCAAATAAAGGTTGGCGTTCATTGTAAACTGTTTTGCTAATTAGGAGCCTAATTAGAAGGTTCATTAAAAAAGCGCTACTACCTTATCTACCCTTCCTAACTCTTGGTTGACAGCCTTCAATTCCAAAGCTACCGGTGTCCGTCCGAGAGGGGAAGATGGTTTCCTCACGACTTTTGGAATCGTCAAGGCCATTGGCCAGGGATGAAACTAAAGTAGTGGAGGATTTTTATTCATTATGCTAATTAATCTTCTAATTTGCCAATCTGTCTGGAACAATCACCAAACCTCTTTTCAAAATCTGGCAATTATAAGATTGTAAATTTTGAGCCTATCGGCCTGATAGTTGCCGAGATACGTATTTTTGTGCATTTTTCGAACAATTCGTGATTTTTGGATCTGAATAAGAAAAGCAACTTTGAATAATACAAATTAATATTTCTAATAGCTTAAATCAGCCTGCTCATTTGTGTTACAGAGCTACGTAATCATTCACTGCTTTTGTTATTATATATAAGTTCATTAATAAATATATATTGTTGCATTTTTGGTAACAATGGTTTCTGTTCGCATAAAGCTAATATTAAATATAATTTTTAACTAAGAAATTTTAATTGCAAAAAAATAAATATAAATATAAATAAACTATTTATTTAAATTCTGACTAATTTTTATTTTTCGTTCAGGGTTTTAAATTGAATTTCTGTTGCTTGAACATGGTATATGGAAAGTTTTCTTATTATAAATAATTATGAATAATTAATTACATTAATATGTATATTGATGCACTTTTGTGTTGATTATGTCGAAGTTAATGAAAAGGAATTTTAATAACAACTCTACTATTCGAATAATAAACACGAAAATGTTCAAAATTAAATTTGGTACAGCGGCCCGGTAAAGTCGCTGAACACTGGTAGTTCGATCCAACTTTCGAATCCCGGCGGATGGGCTGACTACATGGATGTTTTCGTGATTTTCCACATGTGTATCGCGTATGCAGTATCTTCTAAATGCATACTTGAATAAAGCGGGCGCAGCCTCACAAAACCGCTGAACTCTGGTAATTCGGTGCAATTTTTGAATAACGGCGAACGGGCTCGCTCCATGGGTACTTTCGTGATTTTACGCATGTGTATCGTGTACGCAGTATCTTCTGGATGCATATATGAATAAAGCGGGCGCAGCCCGCGCAAAACCGCTGAACACTGATAGTTCAGTCCAACTTTCGAATACCCGTGAAAGGGCTGTCTGCATGGGTATTTTCCTGATTTTACGCATGTGTATCGTGTACGCAGTATCTTCTGGATGCATATATGAATAAAGCGGGCGCAGCCCGCGCAAAACTGCTGAACACTGATAGTTCAGTCCAACTTTCGAATACCCGTGAAAGGGCTGTCTGCATGGGTATTTTCCTGATTTTACGCATGTGTATGGTGTATGCAGTATCTTCTGGATGCATACGAGAAGAGAGCGGGCGAAGCCCGCGCAAATCCGCTGAACGCTGGTAGTTCGATCCAACTTTCGAATCCCGGCGAATAGGCTGCCTCCATGTATGTTTTCATGAATTTCCTCATGTGTAACGTGTATGCAGTATCTTCTGGATGCTCGAGATTATATTTGGTACAACGGCCCATTATCGGCTGAGCGGTAAAGTCGCTGAACACTGGTAGTTCGGTCCAAATTTCAAATCCCGGCGAATGGGCTGGCTGCATGGATGTTTTCATGATTTTCCACATGTGTATCGTGTATGCAGTATCTTCTAAATACATACATGAATAAAGCGGGCGCAGCCCGCACAAAACCACTGAACACTGGTAGTTCGGTCCAGTTTTTGAATAACGGCGAACGGGCTGGCTGCATGGGTACTTTCGTGATTTTACGCATGTGTGTCGTATATGCAGTATATTCTCATGATGTATTCTTTCATAAAGCAGCCGCAGCCCGCGCAAAACCGCTGAACACTGGTAGTTCGGTCCAACTTTCGAATCCCGGCTGGGTGCATGGGTGTTTTCGTGATTTTCCGCATGTGTAACGTGTATGCAGTATCTTCTCGATGCATATGTGTATAAAGCGGGAGAAGTCCGCGCAAAACCGCTGAACACTGGTAGTTCGGTCCAACTTTCTAATACCGGCTAAATTACAATGGGAACTCATGAAGATTAAGCAATGAAAAGCGGGCTTGCCCGCTAGTTAATTATAAGAGTACCTTCTGGTTTTTAACTTAAAATTACCATATGCAGTTAAGAACAAATCAGTTTCATTAAGTTTAGGCTTAAGTTTAACATTATTTAAAACATACAAAGGCAAAATATTTACTTCTGCACCAGTATCTAACTTAAAATCAACCTTGAAAGACTTATTATTTACATACATTGTAATACTTTTCACCCATGTTTCACTTACCTTGTGAATATCCTTATTTACTTCATCAATAGAATTTGTTAGATCTTTGATTGATTTTGCACTTATTTTAAATTCACTATGAACGTTTACTGGTGGATCTATCATTAGAGAGTCAACAAATACACTATGTTCATTATATATACTAAGTTCATTATTTGGTATTCCAACTTCATAAATGTTCTTGGGACACCTCGTAGCAAAATGGTTCTTTACTTTGCATTTCGCAGACGTCTTTCCGAAAGCTGGACAGTCCCAATATTTGTGCCTTCTTCCGCACTTCTTGCAGTCATATTCTAGTGCTGATTGCTTCTGCAACGATAATTTTGGTGGCACTGACTGTTTTGATTGATGCTGCTGTTTTCTATATTTCTTCACGCTGTTCACAGTCGCTGGATCATCTTTCATGTTCCGGAGTTGCTCTTTGCTTGTTTCAGTGGCACGGACTATTTCTATAGCCTTTTCTAATCCTAGATTAGATTCTCGAAGCAAACGTTCGGTCAGACTCCTATCCTGAATGCCTAATACAATACGGTCGCGAATCAATCCATTTCTTGTTCAGCAAACTCACAAGTTGACGCTAAAGTCTTTAACTGAGTGACATAACATTTGTCCCTCAGTTAAAGAGTCCTTCTTGCTGTCCTTCTTGCTGTTTGTCCTTCTTGCTGGCTACATGAAAAGAATTTGTAACGTTCATATATGACATTCTGCCGTGGTGAACAATAATCTTCAAAATACTTCAAGACCTCTTTGTACTTCTCTTTATTCTCAAGTGGCTTAAATCGAAATGTGTTATAAATTTCGAGTCCTTCAGTACCGAGTAAATTCAAAAGGATTGCAATTTTAGTCTTATCTGGCTTGGCATCTTTTTCCGTTGCAAGTAAATAGTTTTCTAGCTCTTGCTTCCATTTTTCTTTAACATTTCTGACGGAGAATGTTAGCGGAGCAGGTGGTCTGAAATCCATTTTGCTCCTGACACCATGTAACTCCAAAGCAATTAAAAGGGAACACTATCAAATTACTTCTCCAGATGATATAATTAGTAGGTTAGAAGGTAAAAAAAGTATTTTCAGTTGTAGATTTAAAAGATGGATTTTGGCATGTACCACTAGATGAAGCTAGTTCTGAACTATGTACATTTAATACTCCTTACGGAAGATATAAATTTAATAAAATGCCATTTGGAATATCCTCTGCCCCAGAAATATTTCAGAAAAGAAACCAAAAATTATTTGGTGATATTGAGGGTGTGAAAGTTTATTTTGATGATATCATAATTGCAGGATCTGATGAGGTTACTCATGATATAATTATCTCTAAGGTTCTTGAAAGAGCTAGGTCTCTAAATATAAAATTGAATCCTGATAAATTACAATATAGGGTACCGGAAGTCAAATATGTAGGCCAAATTATTTCTGAGTCAGGTGTAAAAGCCGATCCTAGTCATATTAAAGCAATTATTGATATGCCAACACCAAAATGAAAAACTGAAGTAAGGAGGTTGTTATTCTTTTTTTTATTTACTACGTGCTCCGCCCTTAGAAGGAGGTTGTTAGGAATGTTAAATTTTCTGTCAAAATTCATACCTAATGTATCTAAAGTTACTGCTCCTTTAAGAGAAATCATTCAAGAAAAGGTAGAATTTAATTGGGGAGAAACTCAAGAAGAATCATTTAACAACATCAAACAACTGCTAACCAAAGCTCCAATTTTAAAAGTTTTCGGTGGTAATGAGGATATAATTATACAGTGTGATAGATCGAAGGATGGCCTAGGATCGTGTCTAGTTCAAAAGGGTAAGCCTGTATCATTTGTGTCTTG